CGGAAGCGGTCACCCCTACTCTATGAAGTCTGGAACCTCTTTGGTCCACGCTGTCATGGAAAAGTACTTGTTCAGAGAAAAGATGCTTGCTTCTTGTTTTATGGCACCGGATCCCTTGACTGAAGCGAATAGCCTCCATGATCCCAACTTGGAACACGTGTTGCAGGACAAAGAGAGGTTGTATCAGTACTTGTTCGGAGATTCCGTAAGAGGAAGCCATGCATATCAGTCCACTGCGGAGCCTTCAGGTGAGAATGAGTCCGAGCGGAGGAAGAGGGAGAAGGTAAGGAGAGAGAACAAAATGCCATGGATGGATGAGTACTGGGGAGTCCTTCAGCCAGAACCAATATACTCGAGGACTCAAAGATGGTACGTCATTGATGACTTCAAGGAGGGTGAGGAAATTTGCTGCGATTACTGTCTGGTCTGCAATTTGAAAGACGATTGCTATGCAGAATGCATCAACGGAGCAGCAAATAGATGCCGTGGGATGTCCGCAGAAGACTACGTCCAGAAGCGATTTCATGCATGTGCTCGATTGCTTCACAACTTCGGCATGGGGCAAACGGTATCCTCTCCCATCGTCATGATCTCCGAGATGAACCCGCACGAAGACTTGATGAAGTTCTTACACGAGGCGATGATCATCTTTAACGAGAATCCAGGTTTCCAGAAGGAAATCTCGTTCTTCGGGGGGATCAGGTTGTCATCAACAATGACGGAGAACTTCTTCAAAACGAGGAGAGGACCCAGCATCCATGTGGAAAAGCAGATAGTCGGCAGCGCCAAGTACTACCAGGGATCCTATGACCTTGGCAACGTGTGCTACACCAAATACCTCAAGACCATACTGGAGCCCGATGTATTCCGCACTATATTCGGAGATGATCCCACGGAGGAACGGGTAGGTGACATGGTGGAAGCGCTGCTGGGCATGTTCGAAATTGCTCAACTCTTCCGGTACATGTTCAAGGGATGGGGTGACATCGAAGCTTTGAGGACGGGATTAGAAGAATCCATCAAACGCGTCACTGCATCGCTGTACGACAGGACAACGTATGAGAACCGAAAGCGATCGACGATCAGGACCTTGGACCCGCACTCTGATGAGGCGGCAAACGTGGCACTGATTCTCGTTCGCATGAGGACCATGCCGCCTCCTGAATTCGACATCGACCACTTCTTCGAAATTGGGAAAGAACCAGAACAGGGAACAGAGGCTACTGACCAGCCCGAGGCCGAAGGTGTCGATATGGAGACTGAATGTGAACAGGAGAAGGAGGAGCAAGACGTTGACATGTCCGACCCGAAGACATCAATACTGCAAGCCATCGACGAATTTGAGAAGAAGATCGGGCAAGCAGAATTCTGCATCCACTGCATGAAGTCGGGACACACAACTCTCAATTGCGAGAAGACCCCTTCATCTTCACCTACAGTCACCTCAGTGTTGAGTGATTGGAAGAAGAGAGTGAAGGGAGAGGTTGCACCCGACGATGTACCATCTGGACATCCAACCGAGGAGCCTAAGAAGAAGAAGCAGAGAGCATCGCCTACTCCAGATAGGAAGGTCGACAGCGAGTTCAGGCGAAAAGAAATGTTGAAAGCAAGAGTCGTGACGATGTTCGACCATGACGGATTCACCTTGATCGAAAGTGCTGATGGAGTCGAATGGAGGGACACATTCCTACAATGGGCGGAAGCTTGCGGAAGCAGGCCCTAGGGATATGAGGGTGGTGTACGAATTTGTAGAGAAGGCATTTGTGCACTCCAGTTCCCTCACACCAAAGGCATGTCATCACTTCTATCCCCTACCGACACGGAGGGAGAAGGGATACAAGCCGATCGACCCCATGACGATGGTCGGGAAAGTTGAACTAGTACCGATCAACGGAGTCACTTTCGCTGCAAATAACTCCGACTACGGCAACCACAAGTATCCGACTCCAGACTGTCGAGTACCTGAATACAGCCAAGCGAGCCAAGCCCTGAGTCGTCGATTGGGAGCGAAGTTGAGACATCGAATTGGACGCCAGTTCAGGACAGGTGGAAGACTCGCACCAATCAAATGCGATGAAGGCGCATGGGTGTCGTGGGAAGACCTGTTAGGTGATAATGCGGCTTGGGAAGACGGTTATCACTATGGCAACATAGATATCGTGACCAAGAAGGCGCGCTTGGAGAAGTACTTCGACCAGAACTATGAGTGTTTCCGCATAACCAAGAGGATCAGATTCCAAATGCTGGCAGTCCGCATTCACCCTGATGAACTCAATGACCCTGATGACCCGATGGAGAAGGAATGGATTGACGAACTCAAGGGCATGGGAATCTCTAAAGGAAGACTCCACCATAGCGATGGATGGTGCTTTCCCGTGGCCGTAAGAGCAACCTCAGCACACTCAATGGACGGCGGAGGTTATGACGTTACCATTAACATCGACCACATTGGATCGAGAATGACCAACGACATGGCCCTATCTATGGTGACTGCATTTCACGCTACCAACCTTGGAGCGCTGACTTCAATCACGCGACGGGGGCTAGTGCCAGGAGGTCTCGGTTCATCGGGAAGGGATTCTATCCACTTCACATGTTTTCCGCCATGGGCCTGGGAGCAGGGCTACAAGGGAAAACCTTGGCTGGGTCGTAAGGTCGCATTGAGTGATCGCCCAGTGGTTCTCTACATTCCGGTGTGGAAGCTGCAGGAGTACGGACTTCTCATCTCAGCGACTGGCTCTCTATTGGTTGAGAACGTCGTTCCCTTCGATGAGGTTAAAGGGGCATGGTTGCAATGCGACAATGCGGAACCCGGACAGCCTGAGGAGATCGAATGGATCAGGTTACTCAATAGGGAACCCGACCCTGGAAGCTACCTTGTTCTGGAGTCCAAATACGGAAACCCGATCATGATCCCACGCTTTCAAAAGCTTGAGAGTTTAGCGGTTGAGGTTCAGGACGATACCTACTCCGAGGACGACGCCAAAATCTCAAAACTGTTGGGTATGATCGAGGAGAGTGGTGTCTACCCAGAATATGATAGCACCGAGTGGCAGGAAATCTTTGAGGAAATCGTGTACCGCCGGGCAATGAAAGACTATGACTCAAGACCGTGTCCTAACTGTCTTGGCGAAGTCGATGTGCGATTGACGATATGTCCGCACTGCGTAGCGGTTTTGATCGCGAATGGGAAACTCACGCATGTGGTACCCAAGGAGACAAGGGACCGCAATCAACGATCACCTCCGAAAGATGTCCCAGCCAGTTCTTCCGGTGAAGCAACTTCTGCTGCAGATGCAAACATCGATGAAGTCATCAAGAATGCACGCAAGACAGCCGAAGAGGTCATTGAGGTCGAGGAATCCGAAGGAGAGGAAGAGGAGGAAGTTCCTATCATTTTGAAGGAACGACCGGACGAAGCTGAAGGCGAACCCGAATATCGGGAGGTCCCTCAAGATGGATACGGGAATGAACTTCCGCAGCCTTTCCCCTTCGCAATTGACGAATTGCCACAAGAAGCTGCGATCCCCATCGACCACAACTTTGCAGTCACACAGCAATTTGATCTGAGGTTGATGAAGTTGATCAAGAGCTTGGCCAACGCGACGTTCGACATCAACTGCTTTGAGAGTCGTGAAGACGTACTGCGAAAGTTCGACGATGGACAGCGGCATGACACTCCGTACAATAGATGGCCAATAGTACCGAATGATCCGGATACTGGGTTTCCAAGACGTCTCCAGAGAGCCGAGGTCGTAGGCATGAGCAAATGGACCAACGACGTGTATGCAACAGAAGCGTGGCAGATCTATGAATTCCAAGCCCACGTTGTTCACCCGATGATGATCACTGCAATCCGCTGCGGGCTTAGCCACAAGTACCTCAAAGAGGTCGGCAGCACTCGGCGTAACATGAGTGATCCAAAGGCTCGAAGGTCTGAGACCCAGGAAGAGATCATCGAGAAACTGGCATTCATCTCAAATTTCATCAGACGCTTGATCAGGAAGACCTTCGGAGCGAGCCGATATAGTTACTACCAGAAACCAGATGACGAAAGTGCCGCTCCATACAAATTCATCGACATTAGTCCCGCCATCAAATCGGAGCGGAAGAATGTCACGAAGGAGATCCTCGTTGCATGCCGCTACTATGGCATAGAGGTATCCGATATCCAAGCACAGAAATTGAAGATCTTCGAGGAGCAGATCCGAGCGGGAAATCCGAGGAACGTTGAGCTCATCAAGGACTACATTGGCTTTGTCGGCGCTGACTACATGCGACAACTCACGAATGGTTGAGCATTGGGGTCATACCGACATGCCACTTCTGGTACTTCATGTACTGAGGGATCTTGGGTAATTCATGATGACCGTTTTGGCATCATGGGAGTGAGATAGGATTGCGTTTCACACCGCTGGTAATCGCATTATACCATAGGTAGGTGCACGTTTTCCGTTTGTAGCTCCATTACCTGTTTGATCCAACTTTCAAACGAACGCAAGATCGTTTGCTAATTCAGTTCAATAGGACATACTGGTTGACCTCCAATACACTTTTGAGAACGTGTCCGTTCTCCGGTTTTTTTTACATCCACTCATCTCCCTTCCCCGTCGAAGTACGGATGTGGGGGGTGTCAATAGGGATGAGGTCCCAGTATAGTTGCTATACAGGTACATGCCATATACTTTTGGCTCAAGTGCCCAACCAGGTAAAAAGGAGCTTTAGCGCGCGAGCTTCATGTTGAATTAAGGGCTAGAACGGGGCCAGGGCACACCTTTCCATCCGTTCGCATTGATAAGCCTCCGGGTTGGTGCAGCATCTTCAGATTCGTAAGAAACTGAAATCAACGAGCAGCTATTGCCGCCTAAAGGCACACAATGTGGAATATTTGCGAGAGGGATGCCAAGCTGACAGAATTGTAGAGCTTCCGTGCCAGTAAGTGGGTTCCAGTAAGATAGTGACAACGCACCGGTTAGGGGTTGCCGGTGGCCGATGTGCAGGTAGGACCGGGCCTTGTGGCAGGTGGCTGGACAGGACTGATTGTTGTAACTTGCAACATTTTGATTGGAGGAGTTCAGCTATATTATAGTGAGATGTCGATCGAAGGTGATGCGCAAATTGGTCAGTGTAGGAGTGATGCGCCGCTAAGCAGGAGTGACACACATTTCAAGATGTGGTATTATTCTCGAACATGCCTCAACTTAACTTACCAACTTGTTGAAAACTGGACGACCGGTCCTGTGCACAAAGTGCATGCGAGGAGTGGCATGAAGCCTTACCCTTACATGCATTTGTAGCAGAAGTTTGTTTGAGTATCCAAGCTTCTCCTTGGTTCAATCCTGTTTCTTGACACACTGAATTTCGAGTCTCCCGCGCGGTTGCCATGATTGATCACGTACACCTGCAGCTCAGAAGCTGTCCTGGTCGGCTATGGGCGGGCCTCGGTTGTGCACGTGGGATTTGCTCGCCTGTGCTACACATCACATCAACTCAATTTGTGTGTGCGCAGGTGGGCTAAATCTGTGTGCGCGGGTGAGTATGTGGTACCAGTTTTGTATTTGTTTAAATCGATGTGTATGTGAGTTCATTCAGTGTGCGCAGGTGAGTGACTTTTTCACAAATTTTCAAAAACATGCTGCCGGTACATGTGAGCCAATGTTGCGTGCGCAAGTGAGGCGCCGTCGGCTGTCCTCATGCTCAGTTTGCTCAATATCAAGACTGTGGAGGCTGCATTGTGGGTTGGCGTGAGAGACCACGCTATTCCGCTGTAGATCCTGCCACCCACTGCCCTGCACCGCAGCAGGGGGGCCTTCGCAAGGTGGACATAGGGGAAGCGATCGGCAGCCTTGGCCCTGCGAAGACCGCCTCCATTCGGTTAACGCACAGATGGACACAGACAGCTCCAGCTACATTCCATACATACACGACTGTATGAAGGACAAGCCAGCTGATCACACACTGCCAGTTGGCAGTTGGAGGCCTGCAACCCACACTGTTCCACAAACAGCAAGCAGCAAGCCTGTTTTTCCACTCGCCACTGGGCCGCCGCCGCACAAAGAGTATGTCCTTACTTGGAGAGGTGGCTGTGAAAAGTCAATCATCCCCAAACCCTGGCTTTGTTATCAATTATTGTGCGGCCAACTGGCAGGATCGCTGCTCCAACGCAGATAACCATACTGCCCTTATGCAATTCCTCCTTGAAATATCCCACCACAAAGCTTTATCCAGGCAGCTCCCACGAGTGCCGTTGCCATTGCCAGGTCGCAATATCAATGGTGCTCCCAGATCCGAAAATCAGTGAACATGTGCCGAGCAGGTGGCCTGCAAGAACGGCAGCATTCCGAAAGCACGCTCGGCCTTGTTTCTATATACTCCCGTCCCCGCACTTGACCGAGTAGAGCATGTGCAAGGCATCACCATGCATCACCCTGGCTTTGTGGGGCTTGTTTCATTTTGTTTACTTTTTTCCGGTGTCCTTGTCCTACTTGACCAATACTTTGTCCCCCCGAGTTGTGCTGCCAATGCTTCAGCTTTCACAGAGGAGCTACCTTGGCCTACTTTGGTGCAGAGGTTGTGAAAGCTGATAGCTCAGTCAGGGGGTCGAACAACCAAGTTTGTTCTTCATGGAGGAATTAACAACCAATAGTTCAATATAGCTACTCTATGTTACTCTCAATTTGGGCGAATATTCGAGGCTCTGATCAACTACATATAATTAGAGGAGGTGTTTAAATCCTAGGTTTACTGCAGGTGTGTGGCTGAATGCACCTCAAAGGCCATGCAAGGCCCCAGATTCTGCTGGTTCGGCTTGCCATAGAGATTCCTCATAGTTGCTCTATACATTCCAGATCATTCTGACGTGCTAAGCTCTATTTGGTGAGGCTCAAAGGAATGACTTGATGACTCGGCTCCAGCTTGGGCTGGGTGAAAGATCCAGACCTGTATCATGTTCCATGATTTCCATGCTCGGGATTGACGCCGAGCACATCGCATAGCTTTAAGGTCCGGCATATCGTTTGCACAATTATACAGGGTATTCCGAGCCTGAAGCCCTCACTAAAGTGTGCACCATCTCTCTCTATCTTTTCTAGGCGTATCAGACAAGACGGATTCCACGCCTGTGCACTGACATTTCACGTAACGAATGTAGCCCATGCTGGACGTCCATGGCGAGCAAACGGAGGCCAGCAGCTTCACAAACCTCGGCTAGACCATTAAGGCGAAAGTTGACGCGGAAGCAGCCGGCACCGGAGCTGGAAGAGTTCCTCAGAGTTTGCAACTTATGGAGATATCGAACCTAAAGATGCCTCGAGCCGTCAACAGCCTGCTAAACAGTTAAATACAATTACCATGATAGTTACCATGATATATAAATGATATAAATGTAGCACTGCACTTTAGTAATATATGTACAGTTGCTTGTTTAACCTTTTGGGGTCGCGGCAAGGCATCTGGGCGGCTAAGCCTATAAGCATCATAACAAGCTCAGTTTTGATATGTATTGGACATTGTAGTGAGATCAGCCAACAGTTCACGATGAGCACCTGTCAAGACCGGAAGATATTTGCTTGTACCAGTCAGTACTTTGGACTTGGCCAACGAGCCCCCTATCCAATGATTTATGTCGAGTTTACCATTTAATGCTTTCACTCGGCGGAGAGGTGTGAAAACGAAAGGGGGCTATGATCGGTTTATAGTACGCTTATAGTTGTTCCCTTGCTTTGCGATGGCTGTGCGCAGATGGGATAAATGACGGAATCGCATTTGGCCACCGGCCACCCAAACATGACACAGCAAACCGAGGATTCTTTCATCACAAGATGAACCTGATATCACTCCAAGCGCATCCTCCCGTGCAACCTGGCAAGCATCGTCCGCGGCACGACATGACGTGGAGATGAGCACACAGGCATTCAGGGCATCAGTGGCTGATCCATCCCAAGAAGGAAGGACGCACACAGGCACCAGTGGCAAGAGGAAATTGCAAGATCCGACACCTTCGATCGAACGCACAGAGCCAGAATCACAGGCTCTCCTTCCACTGAATCGGGAAGAGGGGATCGAGGAGAGGTGGTTTCTCGCTCTTGGAAGCAAGATTGTTGGTGTTCAACACTATGACGGCGTGGTGTCTGACAGGGAGTCTGTCGTCTTGCGCAGGCAGCCATCAAACATCTACGATCGCAATGCTATACAGGCGTCAAGGGCTAAACCTGTCAAGGGTCACTGGGCATTCAAAATGTATGTATCACCCACGAAAGCGTATACTGTCACATATAGGCGCACATATCCATGGAACCTACATAGTTCTACTACAATATCAGGCTAGTTATCCGGCTACTAAATACGCCTCGAACGACCTTCTCAGAGGCGTCGAGGTGCTCGTCAGGGATTTCCTCGTTTACCGATTCCAACATCTTGAACGCGCCTGGAGGTCCTGAACATTCGCGGTGACCAGATTGGCCATGTTCCTCGTGAAATGGCGGGCCTTCTTGCTCCTGTGATGGATCGCCTTGCTGATGGTGAACTCCGGGTTGAAGGACACATACCAAGAGGCTCTGGCAATGTATATTCAATCCCTATACGCCTCTAAGCTGCAATTCAGGCTGCAATGTGTTCAAAAGAGTTGACCTCAAGCGAATCCTGACATGCGTTGAGCGCTCAACAAAACAAATATTACTTAAGTAATATAAATAATACATATACATGACGATATAGAGCATGTTTTAAGTTGTAAGTGCTTTATGTTCACCATAGATTTGCTTGGGTTGCACCGTAGTTCAGAAAATGGTAGTCGCATGTGGCAGTTTTACCTAGTATATAAAACATAGAAAATCACATATACATGTTTAGTTTTATACAATGACAGTATGAGAGAGTGAGAGTATTTGCATCACATGCTTTTAGGAATCCTTCGGGCCATTTCATTCCACAAGAAGAAGCTTTCTTGCAGAACCTGAGGCGAAGCCACGATTGTGCATCCAGTAGCTTCATGTTCCAGTGACCCGTTTTTACTTACTATATAACATGGCATGATAGGGACACATGTGACATCTACTTATATACGTATATCATTCTATTGTATATATATATATATGTGTGTGTTACATAATGTGTCCTGTGCTGCATATATATATATTATATGTGTTGCTATTGCAATTGCTCAGCTTCCCCACCTCCCTGTTCCATTATTTGGTTAGATCTCGTAGCAGCTTAACCTCCCCCGAAGAATAGCATTGGCATAACCACACACGATGAAACGGAGAAGACCAAGTTACCAAGTTGTTGCCCTCAGTGAGGTTTGCAAGTGTTCGGCCATGATCCTTCTGGCCATGTAGCACCGCAGCTCCGTGATCTGGGGGAACGGTTGCGACGCACCTATTGCTCTGCAGCGCGTGGAGCAGTTGAGGTGGTAAGCGCTCCGCGTGAAGCTGGAACTCCAGTGCAAGAGCTGCCCGACATTGTTTTTGGTGTGTGTGTGTGTCTATGCACATTTGTGTGGAGGAGAAAGAGCAGAGAGGGGGGCGATGAAGGGAAACATCGGGCTTCAGACCATTGGACCTTTTCTTTTTGTGTACGTTTTTGAATTGTGGGGTTTGACCACACTGACCCAGGCTGACCCACGCAATGCCCCAGTGTGGTAAAAATCATGGCTGTGTGCTGCAGAAAAAGCAAGCTTCCCTGCCATTGTTTTGAGGTTGACGCCACAGATGTGGCGCGAGATCATGGGTAGCAAGCCCCTGAAGAGCACTGCATCCAAGATGGGGCCAACGATGCAAGACATCATCGAGCGAGAGTTGGAGGAGATATTCCGCCAGCCAGGTGGATATGAAGCTAGCCCTTTGGCGAAGCAGCCAGACGGCTTGAAGACCGATCTCTATCCACATCAACTGTAGCTTGGTTGAGTTGGGTTACTTAAGAATCCAACGTAACTAACTGTCATAAATAGCTGTATAGTTATATGGCCCCGAGAGCCATACAACATGACTAAAATAACATGTTGTGTATCTGACTCCATGGCAGCAGCAAGCAAGGAAGGCTTTGCACTGGATGATCCAGCAAGAAAGGGCTCTAACAGTGGCAGAGAAACTGGCGGAAGCCAGTGATGATGTGGCAAGGCTAAGTTCGAAGAGCGCGCGATTTGGCAGCTCTCAGGCCTTCTTTTGGACCAAGGACGTGTCTCCAAAGGGCCAAGTGATCTACAAGAATTTGGCAACAAATTCGGCATTCAAACACCCTCCTTTGCTCCCTAGAGGGGGAATTCTAGCGGATGACATGGGCCTGGGCAAGACTATCACCACCATTGCTTTGATGCTGGCCACCATGAGTGAGGGAAGGGGCAAAAAGCACATGGGCAACAATCTCATAGTTTGCCCTCTTTCTGTTTTGTACAACTGGTCTGAGCAGCTCAAGCTACATGCGCCCACTTTGCGCGTGCGCACCTACCATGGTCCTGATCGAGATCGGAACCCACGGACCTTTACACTGCATGATGTCACTTTGACCACCTATGATGCTTGGCCTGGACATGTTGCACAGTTTGTGTGTTTGTGGTGTATTAAATTGAAATTAATGATTAATGTCAATTCTAATCCTATTTATTGTTTCCAATAGCTTCTTGTTCCTAGTAGTAAGACCGGGAGACCCTGTAGCTTCTTGTTCCTAGTAGTAAGGCCAGGAGCCCCTAGTAGCGTCCTTGCTCCTAGTAGCGATGCCAGGAGCCCCTAGTCTCACAATGTTCCACTGCTTGGCCTAGACATGTTGCACGGTTTGTGTGTTTGTGGTGTGCGGCCTCCTTGCAAGATTGGGTGGATATCAGGCTGAACCATGGGAATCTTAGGGGGGAGTGTTTGGTGCTTAGGTAAAGCCAGTTGTTCTGACGCAGTTGCCAAGGGCACAAGCTAAGGATATCGTGAGATCAGAAGCACGAGATCAGAGTCAAGGTCTTGGCTCAGTCCCATGGTATAGGGCTGTGCTCGACGAAGCGCATGTCATCAAAGGACACAAGTAGCTAAGCTTCTAATTGGTGTGTCTTTGGATGTTCAGAACGAATGGATGTGCTCACTTGAATGTGTAGCGAAATGGGTTTGTGAGGCAGGCGACAGCGCAAGCTGTCTTCAAGCTGCTGGAGGCTCAATGCAAGTGGTGCTTGACGGGCACACCCATCCAGAACTCCGCCGACCAAGTGTGCATTAGAAGGGGTTCTATGTATAGTCTATATACGGATATAAGTATATAAAATGAATTACTGCATAACACCTACATGGATGTCGTTTGTTTTACACTTGAATGTTTCACTTCACATCCAGTTGTGCAAATGCAAAGGCAGAAGATTTGTTCTCTTTGGCTCGCTTTTTGAAGCTGGAGCCCTTTGACCAGTTTGATTGGTTCAATCGTACCATCTTGCGTCCATTGAAAAATCGAGACGTTGTCGGCTTTGAGCGGCTGCAAGTCTTGCTTCGAAGCTGGTGCTTGCGAAGAACAAAAGATATGAGAATATCCGATCCTCACACTGGACAAGAGCACGGCCATTTGCAGAAGCACCTTTTCTGCTTTTCCTGTCGCGTTCTCCCTTTGGCAAC